TTCTGCCTGGCAGAAATGTCTGTTGAATAAACATATAAATCACTGTGGAATACAAGTGTTCATCCTCCACAAGGGGCCTTACAAATAACTCTTCCCCTTGAGCTCTTGGACAGCCAAGGAAAGCAGGAACCTGTGTGCTTTGGGGCGGCTGCCTAAGGAAGCCACCTCCCCCAGGAATGGGTGGGAACAGCCAGCCTTGCGTCTGCAGTGAGGCGAACACCATTCATCAGTGGCATCCGGAAACTTTCCGGCAAAGTGGTTGTCAGCTCAGGGCTCCGGGCAGGCTGGGAAATCCCAGTGGAGCTGGAGAAAGGGCAAACAGAGAGCCCTGTTCCAAAGACGCCCTTTCTAATGATGAAAAGAGGGAGTGGGAAGGTGGGGGTGAGGCCTGCATGGGCCTGTGGGGCCCCATAGCCAACCTCCCTAACTGGGAAGTTCTGCAGCATTCATTAAAGAAATCAATTGCAGGTACCAGGAGGATTCCGCGGTCTTAGGTAATAACTGGCTACAGACTTCTCAAAAATAAATCTCACCACCCGCAGCCTGGCTGGCCCTCCCCAGTGGCGGAGCTGACCCTGGAAGGTAGAGGTGATAGCCGGAGAGTCAGGGACAGAGCCTGAGAGGTCAGGGACAGAAGCTGCTCTTGGTTCTCCTCTTACTCCTCTGCCAGCGCCTCCCTGACACTTTCATCAATTCCGCTTTCTTTCCTTAGATCTTGACGTTCTCCTAGATTCTATCCTCTTCTGCTCCGTTTTCCCATGGCTCACTCTCCTGCCTGCTCTCAGCCATGGCCCTAGCTCTAAGCACCATGCCTACACCTGCAAATCACAAACCCACACCCACCTCAGGAAAAGGCACCATCATCCACTGGGATCCTTTGCACCTCCCTGGTCCCCTGAGCCTCAGAACACTGTCTGAATCCGTCGGCTTCTCACCATCTCTGCTGCCAGCACCCTAGAGCACACCACCATCATTTCCCTCTTGGTGTCCGATGAGAGTCCTTTGCAGGCTCCCTTGTGTCCCTCAGGCCCCCCTTGCAATCTATTCTCCTACAGGAAGCTACAAGGATCTTTAAAGCAATCTGAGTCAGATCACATCATTCCTCTGCTCAGAACCCTCCAATGGCTTCCTGTCGTACCTTAAATCAAATCCAGACTCCCGAGGCCTGGAAGCCCCATCACAACCTGGCCCTACCTCCCTCTCCAACTTCCTCCCCTGCCGCTCTCCCCCTTGCTCATGTTGTTCCTGCCAAACTTGCCTTCTCACTATTCTAAGAACACAGCCAGCACATTTCTGCCCCAGGGCCTTTGCATATGCTATTTCTGACCCCTGGAATGACTCTGCTCTCTTCACTTGTCTGCCTGGTGAACTCCTAGCATCTTTCAAGGCTCAACTCAAATAATACCTGAATGAAGGCTTCTCCTCACTCATGGCCGGATTATTGAGCCCCTCCTTGGTGCCCCCACGTGACCTTTGCTGGCCCTCCTGTGGCTTGTATCACACCTCTTCATGGCTATTTATGTCTGCACCTGTCTATGGAGTCCCTCAGGCAGTCTAGTTACTCTTGGTATTCCCGGGACCCAGCCCAGGGCCTGGCCCAAAGCTGGAGACAGTGAAAGTTGAATGATCCAGTGTCCACCTCCCAAACTGCCTTTCTCTGCAGCCCAGGCCATGGAAGGAGGGACTGACAGAAGTGGGGCCACATCTCATCACAGCTGTACCTGCTCTACTCTCAGCCCTGCCCCCCTCTCTTGCCACTCGTGGCTAAAATCCTCTGTGGCAGGAGCTGGTCCTACCCACCTCTTAAATGTCATGCTAGATGCATCCCTGGTAGAAAACTGGGAGGCAGGAGAGCCAGGTGAAGACAGAGGACAAAGGTCTAAATCCTGGCTCTGCTGCTTACCAGCTGGGTGCTCTTAGACAAGCTACTTAACCTCTGTATACCTTGGTTTCCCCTGCTGTCCAATGGGGTGAATAGTACTACTTCAAGGATGAATTTGAGCAAGTTAAGTAGCATCCCTGTGCCTCAGTTTCCCCTCCTGTCCAATGGGGTGAACAGTACTTCTGCAAAGATGAATGAGATAATGGAGGTGATATGCTTAGCACATAGTTAGCGCTCGTGAAATGTGAGCAGGTGGTAACTGCAGCGATTGCAGAGGTGGGGATGCTTGGGTGGTGGCAGAAAGTAGGGCAGAGCTGCCTCCCAGTTCACACCTCCACCAGCCTGCCCAGCCCCACCCTTCGCAGCGAGAAATAGGTCACAGGCAGGAACCGAGCCGGGATCCCTCATTTCCGCTCCAGTCTTTGGGGACAAACACTTTTAGTTTCATTTAATCATAAACCTTCTTAATTAGCTTTTTTTTTTTTTTCTTTTCCTTTTTGAATTTGGAGTTACTAAGCTGTCCCTGCCAGAGGGAGTGGAAATGCTGGGGCCTCCTGGGCTGGCGAGCAGCTAGTCTGGCTGCCCAGGACCTTGGCTCCTTGGAGGACCTCCAGGCCCATCAAGAGGTGGGGTTGCTTTTCCCATCATCCCCAGCTGTTCCAGCCCTCAGGTGGTCACTCCCCCAGTGATCCAACAACCACTTCCTGAGCACCTACTGCATGCCAGGCATGGGGTGAGGGTGGAGGGATAGCAGAGATAATGGCAAAGTCTCTGCCCTCGAGGGACTTACTGTCTAGCTCCAATGAGACAGCAAATACCTAATTACTCGGTAACATTTAAAGAATTATAATTACCGTAAATGCTAAGGACAAAGGCTAGGTACAACAAGTGGGTAAATAAGGGCCCTCCCTTGGTCTGGGAGCGAGACAGGGCTTCCCTGAGGAAGTGATGTTTAAGCTGAGATTTGAAGCGAAGAGGTGAAGCCAGCCAGGTGGAGGTGAGGGTCGAGGAGTTGTCTAGGTGGAAAGAATTCATCCCTCTGTCCATGCAGGCATCTAGCCATCCCTCTGGTTCCCTTTCATTCACAGGCTCCAACCCTCACTTCTCCTTTTCATTCATTAACACAGTTCGCTCATTCACTGTTCGCAGCCTCTCTGGTGATGTTTGAAGACGGCACAGCCCAAGGGAAGGAGACATTCACTCCTGGAGGAGGTGACATTTTGGTGCCCACCTGGAGATTCTGATGGTGGAGATGAGGGAGAGGCTGGAGGAGAAAGTACGAATAGGGGCCAGGGAGCATGAAGACCCAGGGCACCTTCAGGGGATTTCTGGTGGTCTGTGGTGGCCAGGGCACAGACCATGGGAAGGGGTTCATTTCTTATTTATTCCACCAGTATCTATTGAGTGCATTTTGGTGCCAGGCCCAGGGTGCTGGGGAGAGGGCAGTGAACAGGACAGATGTGTTCCCTGGCCTCTTGGAATGTACTGCCTGGAGGAGGAAATGAGCAAGTAAACAGGCAATTATAAACCTGTTATAAGGCTGGATATGTGTTTGTTGAACCCCTGAGACTCAGCAGGGTTGGCTGATTCAGCAGCTAACAGTGTGGAAGGGCCAGGCTGGGCCTCTGAGAGATGGGATCCTGCAGAGCTGGCTGTAACTGTCCCCATCTATCTTCTTTCAGCCTTTAGGATGAGCCTGTCCTTTCATTTTAGGTCCCCAGGCTTGCCCTCAACTGAAGGATTTCCTATTAGTCATTGACACCTTAGTCTAAGCTGAACCCTGTTGTTGTTAGGTGCCATCAAGTTGGCTCTGACTCATAGTGACCCTATGGACAACAGAAGGAAACACTGCCTGGTCCTGTGCCATCCTCACAACGGTTATGCTTAAGCTCATTGTTGCCGCCACTGTGTCAATCCATCTCATTGAGGGTCTTCCTCTTTTTCCCTGACCCCCTACTTTACCAAGCATGATGTCCTTCTCCAGGGACTGATCCCTCCTGACAACATGTCCAAAGTATGTGAGATGCAGTCTCACCATCCTTGCTTCTAAGGAGCATTCTGGTTGTAGTCCTTCCAAGACAGATTTGCTTGTTCTGAAGTCCGGGTGACATCTTTCCCAGGGCCCTTGCAAATTTTGTGGCTGTTTGGTACCTCAGGGAGCAGGTAATAGAAGTCATCATACAGAGGAGATGTTTTCTGGGCTTCTGCTCTCCAGCCACATGGGTGGCCAGCTACTCTGTCTGCCTTCCTGGCGCCTGTGTGTAGTCCCCATTCAGGTGTGCTGCACTTACCTGGCCTTACATACACGTAGAACTTGCCGGCTGTGCAGCAGGCAGGGCAGATGGGGAGGAAAGGGAAGCAAACTCGCTTCTGCTGAGGGCCAGGCACCATGCTGGGAGCTTTATGTGCCTTCTATCCCTGACCTGCACACCCCCAACATGAGACAGGTGGTCTCACCCCTGCTTTACACAGATGAAAATCACGGCTCAGGTTGAAAGACATCTGCCCAAGATCACAAAGTTGGTTAAAGACAAAGCTGGGATTTGAACCTATGGTTTCTTACGCCTAGTCCAATGCCCCTTCTACTACACCAGTGGCTTCTAACCTGGATCTCTGGGTTCTAGAGGTACCTGAAGGGAGTGTTAAGGGTCTGATTTAAAAGCTCAAACAGAAATCATCTCTCCCCATACAAAGGCCACTCAGGCAGGTGAAAACAAGTGTTTTAGCTGGAATTAGAGCAACACGGCGGGTGGGGTAGGGGAGAAGCTCCAGCTCTCTCACCCTGTGTGGAAGCTTTCTTGAGCAGTTTCAAATCTCTGCTTAATAAGAATGAGTGAATGGCTAATTATTACTTAATAAATGCATCTTTTTGGAAAACCAGTTCTCACATCAGGTCCATGGAAGGAAAGTCAAGATCAGGGGGTCTTGGTGGGTAAAGGGCTGTGACTGTTGCATTTTACCAAGATCATTGACTGGACATCCCAGGCCAGAAAATCAAGGCTCAGAGGGGTCTGTGCAGCTGCCCAAGTCTCCCAGTGGGAGAAGCTCTTTCTGCTGCACCGACCAGCTCGCCTTGGGGTGGGGGGCGGTGGCGGGAGGCACACCGGACCTCAGGTACCTTCTCATAGTACTGTAGCTCATAGTCCAGGATCACACCGTTGGGCTGGTCGGGCTGGGACCACGACAGGGTGATGCTGTCCACGGTGCGGCTCACCTGGTGCATGATGGACACAGCCGACGGAGCTGGAAGAGAAGCCAGAGGTCAGAGGTCAGGAGTCAGAGGTGGGCATAGAGGTGCAGCTTCTGGCTTGACCTCACATGGGGAGCTGGGGATCTCGAGAGGGGAAAGCACTCAGCCAAGGCCACACAACCAGCCTGGGTCCCCCCCAGATGCCTGGGTCCAGGTGAGGGGCAGACGGGCTCACCCAGGGCCGCTCTCTCATGGGCACCCTGAGGTAAAAGACACTGACAGCTCCCACCATCTCTGGGGATCATGTCACTGGGTCCCTTCTCTGGTCCTAGCCCCAGCGGGGTGGACTAGGTACTGTACAAGATGCCGCTCATTCTCTCTGGGAGCTCACAGTCTCCATGGGTGACATACAGACTCTAGACACAGGGACAGTGGCTCTGAGGGAGGAAAGCAGAGGGGACTGTGGGAGCAGAGAAGGTGGGGAGGTTCATTCATTCAACGAATTTGTATTCAGTGCCTACTATGCGCCAGAGAATACAGCAGTGAATAAAACTGATCCTCCCGAATAAAAATAAATAAATCCACCCTCCTCCCACCAATGCTGTTCATGTCCTTGTCAAGGATGGTTGGGGGAAGAAGAGAGAAGTCAGGTGAGGTTGTGTTTAGCACTAGGACTCTCTGAATAAATTAGTCCAATTTCCTTATTTTACAGATGTAGAAACTGAGGTCCTGAGAATGGCTGTGACCAGCCCAAGATCACACAGTAAGTTTACGGCATGCTGGGCCCCTGCCCCTAAGATTCTGAGTCAGCTGGCCTGGGGTGTGGTCTGAGAATCTGCATTCCTAACAAGCTCCCAGGTGATGCCGATGCTGCTGGTCTATGGACCACACTTTGAGGAGCAGTAGATTTGGGGCCAGAGCAGGAAAGTGATTTGTCCAAGGTCACACAGCAGGCAGTGATGGGGCCAGGACTAGAGCCCAGACCTGCTGAGTCCTGGTTGGTATATTTTCCACTCACTGCTCTGCCCCTCTCATTTGCCCAGGCTCAATTATAGAGCCGTCTAGCTCAGAGTCTTGAAACAATGGTACTAGTAGTCCCACGTGGTGAGAGGGCAGGGCCCTTGTAAGGGAAGGGCAAGGATGCGGCTGCCAAAGCAGGTGGGGGCCAGACCACCTGGCCCTGGGTGTCGGAGAACTGTAGAGGAGGGCAAACCTGCTCCTCAGTTACAACACAAGCATGGCATCAAGCTGCTCACCTTGGCAATCCCTGTGGGCCCCAAGATGCCCAGCAAAGAGGAAGGCCCACGGCAGCTAATACCTGTTGTTATTAGGTGTCTTTGAGTCGATTCCAACTCATAGCGACCCCAGGTGACAGAGTAGAGCTGCCCCCTATAGGGTTTTCTAGGCTATAATCTTTATGGAAGCAGATCGCCAGGTCTTTTTCCTGCGGAGCCACTGAGTAGGTTTGAACTGACAACCATTCTGTTAGCAGTCGAGTGCTTAACTGCTGCACCCCCAGGACTCCTTAGCTAACACCTACCACTTCCTTATCACTCATTCTATGCCAGGCGTTTTTCCAAATGCTTAACATCATTTAGCCCCTGGGTGGTGCAAACACTCAACGTGCTCGGCCGCTAACCAAAAGGTTGGTGGTTCGAGTCCACCCAGAGGTGCCTTGGAGACCTACCTGGGAAAAATCAACCATTGAAAACCCTATGGAGCACAGTTCCAAGCTCTCATGGGGCACCTTCAGATCAAAGACACTGACAGACGTGGAAACTGAGATATCCCTGGTCATCCCTGGGGAGGCTCAAGTCCCAGAATGAAGAGAGATGCCCTGGGCCCCTTCTCTGAGGTCGCCATGAGTCAGAGTCGACTTGAGGACAACTGGCTTTGTTTTGTTGTTTTTTACATCTGTTAACTCACGAGGCTGGTATTATTATTATTATTCCTGTCGTACAGATCAGGACATGGAGGCACAGAGAGGTGAAGGAACTCACCCAATGTCACACAGCTAGCAATGGAGCTGAGATTTAAACTCAGCCTCACCCAGGGCCAACATATCCTTTCCTCTCGATTGTCTGCAGCTGATGAGAACAAACCAGGGAGTCTGGAAACCAGGCACCTCAGAGGGCCTCCAAGGACACCCTGGTCCTGCTCCATCCCGCTGCTGCCAGCCTACCTATCTCCACCCAGCTCTGTCAGTTCACCCACCACCCACCAGGCCTGCCCAGGTCCATGAGCTCAGCTGCTGGTGGAGGCAGGTCCCACACGGTGATGGGGGTCCGGCCTGGAGGGTTTAGCTGGCATACTTAGGTTACAGGCAACTAACTCCAGCTCTGATCCCGTAAGCCCCGTAACCCCGGGCGTGGCAAGGAGGAGGCATTTGCTGGGAAGATGATCAAGGCGTCCAGCCGAGGCCAAGCAGGCTGGCCTTTCTCTTGGAATCCAGTGGGATTAACTGCGGAGAAAAGGGAACAGCTGGAAGTTCTCCCACCCCTCCTGCTGCCTGCCGCCCACCCTGGGGTGTCAGGTTTCCTTGTAAGTTGGTCATCTGGGAATTCTGGTATTTTCAATTACTAGCCGGGGCATGCCGGCAGGGGGATGGGGTCAGCGGTGCCCCATGACCCTTGCAAGAAGATGGAGCCCCAGGGAGCAAGCACAAAAGAGGCTTGTGGCCAAGAGCAGAGGAGAAGAGGAGGCCAGCCAGGCAGGGCCTGCTTGGCTGGGGCAGGTGGTCAGGGGCCCTGCTGCCCCCAGCGAGCCCTCACGTTCGAGTCCAATCCTTCTCTAGCTAAGGGACTTCGGGAAGCGGCCTCCCTTTGCGTGCCTCCAATCCTTATCAGGCAGAACGGGTTGGCAGAACAAGATGGTCTCTAAGGGCCTTCTACCACTAGGATCTCATACAGGGCAGGAAGTCTTACTCTGGGTAAGAAAGTGTAGGTTTGAGGGGGCTCACCTGGCTTTGCCTCCACAGCCCTGAGCTCTGAGGAAGGAAGGAAACCGTTCCACTCAGCCTTTGCCTTTTTGCTAGTCAGAGACTCCATGAGCCAAAGTGAGTGGGGAGAAGTCGCCAAGCACAGGACAGTCTGAGACCCCACCCCAAGCCCCAGACTCAGATCCTGCTGCCTCCCTAATATTGCCACTCCCTGCTGAAAGCCCTTGGTGACTCCCCACTGCACCTGAAATAAGACCCAGATGCTCGGCTGTGGCCTGTAAGGCCCACCTGTCCAGTACCTGCCCACCTCCCCCCACCTGCCTTCTCACTCCCAAGCACCATCCACACTGGCCCCCTTTCTATTCCAAACACATGAAAGTCATTGGCCCTGTGGTGTTTCTGCCTGGAACACTCTTCGCCGAGATCTTCCATGGCCAGCAACTTCATTCAGGTCTTGGCTCAAATGTCACCTCCTCCAAGAGGCCCTGCCTGACTATCCTGCTCCCTTCATTCACTCCCCATCCCACTCCCTGCCTGATTTTCTTTATAGCAGGGACATTATCTGAAATTATCTTGTTTATTTATTTAGTAAATGGCCGTGTCTTCAAAAATATTCAATTTCTTAGAGGCAGGGCCCTTGTCCCTCTTACAGTCAATTCTTTACTCCCAGTGCCTGGAACGGTGTGTGGCTCAGAGTAAGTGTTTAAATAATATTTGTTTAAGGAAAGAAGAAAGAGAGGGAGGGAGGGAAGTCGTGAAGGAGGGAGGTAATGAGCGAAGGAAGGAGGAGAGAGCAGGCTCTCATCTTTTCCGGCCATTCAGGACTCTTAGCCAACTGACCACGGTTATGGCTGGTCCCTGGAGCAGTGGCCTCAGGCAGTGTCCCTGAGCAGCAGTGGAAGGCAGCTTGGCTGATATGGAAGTTGCCAACAATTTATTCTTCCTCAGAGCCCGAGCCTACCTGAGGTTGTGACCTGCTGCCATGACAAAGGGTCTCTTGCCAACCAGCTAGCCTACAGCACCACAATTGCTTATTATTGTCCTTGCATTGTCCAGGGTCTGCAGCAGGAACACTGTATCGCAACAGGACTCTTAGGATTTCCTGCTAGTAATGGAATGGCTGTTTTGAGAGTTTGTCTCTTAAATCTGCAGCAATGCAATTAACTCCCAACGATTCAACTGCAATTCTGAGTGACCTGAAGCTAACTCTCGCTAAAAGAATTTCTGCAAACAAAATTCTTCCAGAAAAGGGGTCTTTATTTCTTTCTGATGGGACCAAGGCTCTTAGACAGTGGTGTGGGATAGAAAAAGGGGGAAGCTGAGACATGGTGGTCTAGGGTGGTGCTTTTCCATGAAAAAAAGTTGTTCTGTAGCCAAGGAAGTTTGGGAAACACGGAGTTCTAGACCCCTGCTGTGGAGACTTACAAGGCACACTGGTTTATTCAAGGGTCTGAGAAGTCCTGCAGGGAAGAAACCCAGTTAACTTGGTTGAACATGGTGGTCCCAGTCTCACTTGACCTCAGGATGCTTTTTTCACATAATAGTTATTACTATCTTTCAGAGCTAGCAATAGGGAGAACACATTTTGGAAAATAATGTAGCCAGGAGATGTTATTATTATTACTATTTTTTCCTCGAAACTGAGAAAAGCTCCACTCTAGTGCGGTGACTGGCTGTTTATTTGCCCATTCATTCTTTCCTTGATTCATTGTAGAGTCTTGCCTTCCATATAGGAGACCCAAGTTTGATTCTCAGCTAATGTACCTTAAGTACAGCCACCACCCATCTGTCAGTGGAGGCTTGCGTGCTGTTGTGATGTTGAACAGGTTTCAGTGGAGCTTCTAGACTAAGATGGACCAGGAAGAAAGGCCTGGTGATCTACTACCAAAAATCAGCCAATGAAAGCCCCTCTCTCTGACTCTGCGCTTGACCACACGACTTGCTTTGACCAATGGAATATAAGCAAACATGATGTAAGCAAGGCTGGAAAAGCCCTTGTACATATCTGCTTGCTGTCTTGGTCCCCTGGAGTTGCCATGAAAATACGCCTGGGCCGACCTGCTGGAGGATGAGACATGAAGAGCAGAGTTGTCACTCCAGTTGTCCCAGCCAAGG